GAAAGCTGCGCGCCGTACGCTCTTTTGCAATGTAAATGTGTCGAACTTACAATATGGCGCCGCGCAAAACTTTTCTGCTGTTAATTGTTTGGCAGCGGATGATTCCTGTGAGCAACATCCAAAGTGAATGTAAATAAACCAGGAGCACTTTATTTTGTTCCAATTCACTACAAAAAGACAAACGCAGGATTGGAATGCAGGTTTTTTTTATGCATTCAGGACAGAACACGTGTGCCTCGCTCTGTGGACGGCTGTATTCAGAAGGGAATCCCATTAACACAAGCTTAACAACAAATACTCAACTATTTTGTTGGTTTTGTCCTTGATCTGGAACTTTTACTTTCCCATTGTCACAGTTTAAAATGATAGAAGGACTCAAAATGTTTGTAATATATAGTCCTCTCACATAAGTCCAGTTCTCAGGTCACTGCACCGGCTCCTGTGGCTCAGAGAAAAGACTTTTAATAAGATCTGTCTCTCCATGGCCTCGCACCAAAGTACATCTGTTAGTGCCATATGAACTGACTCAGACTCTGAGGAGCATAGGGACTGGCCTCCTGCTGGGACTCTGAGGAGCACAGGGACTGGCCTCCTGCTGGGACTCTGAGGAGCATAGGGACCGGCCTCCTGCTGGGACTCTGAGGAGCACAGGGACTGGCTTCCTGCTGTGACTCTGAGGAGCACAGGGACTGGCCTCCTGCTGGTGCCCGGAGTCAGGACTAAACTGGGTGAGGCATCCTTTCAGATTTATGCAGCTGAAATCTGTCTTTCTGAAAATGTTAGACAAGCTACTACTCGGACATTGTTCAAATCCAGGTTAGAAAACAGTTCTGTTTTGCTGCAACTGAAGGATTGTATCTTTACTCTTTTTCACACTGTGATTATTTAGGAGTTTAATGCCTTGTGTATGAACTGTGCGATACAAGTAAACATGTCTTGCCTAATATGCGATTTAATAAATGTACACCTAAAAAAAACCCTGTTACATATGTAAGAAGCTAAGCAGGACAAGGACTGGTTAGTACTATGATGGAAGTGCCAAACTATCTTCGTGTCCTTAGGCAAGACACTTCACCCACATTACATAGAAAGAGTCTGGTTTGTGAATGGTAGGTGGAGGTGGGAGGGGCTGATGGCACAGACAGGTGGAGGTGGGAGGAGCCTCTGATCTGTGTTGGCGATTTCAACGTTAAAGGAGCCATACCTGTTTCTGCAAGGTTTTTTTCAGTTTGAATGTTTAGCACCGCCCCTCAACTCGCTCACAGGCTTCTCATTTCCCCTACGCTCTCATCCCACGGAGACATCTAGTTTTATTTGCGATCGGATACGTAAGTAGGTCTCTCCAGAGGATACAATGTAAGCCAGCTATGTTCACCCGGGCTTGATTTCTTCTTTGATAATGTGGCAAGCTGGACTTGGCCACCATATTTATGTCCACCAGAGGGCGCATAAACGTATAAATAGTCTCTAGCAACGCCTTTGTTTACCTCTGCACATCCGTCCTCGGTGGTCGCGCCAGCCCTCTCCTCCTCCAGGTAGTAGAGTTCTAGTGTTCCTTCTGATATTTGTATGTTGCAGCCACTAATGTTAGTTGTTGTTGTAGTGCCGCGGTGTGGCATTGTGCCCCGTGAATCCTGCTTTTATATAGCTATCCAGTCCCGTCGCTTTGGCGTCTGGCCGCCCTCGTTGCTGGGGTCCGAGCGTGTCATAGCCGGCTGTGGGTCTGGGCCTTTAAACCGTCACTTGTCAAGGGTGCGCGCTCAGCATTTGCTGTAAAGTAGGTTTTAGATGCACACACTAACAGTATGGTGGTTGTTCATAGCTAACTTGACTCTACTTTAATCTATAGGCTGGGGAATGGCCACATCGCGGCCCACCGCTGTTTCTCCCGTGTTTTTCCTGTTTTTCTCCCTGTTCTTCCGTGTTTCTGGTTGTGTGTTCACCTGTGCTCCTGAGTCCTTCGTGACAGGATGATGTGTGCTTGTGAATATAAATGAAATGTAACAGAACCTATTTGAATGAAGAGAACTGAACTAAACAAAACATAATAAATCCTAGTAATGTAATGTCTGTCTATGCCTCTCATTATGATTAACGAACCTGTGCGCCTTAGCGCGCTTTTTATTTTTTTTGGGCACTCTGCCCTGGCGTTGCTGGTCTTTTTCTTTCTTTTATTCAATTGTAATTGTTATTTTGTGAGCGTAGTAGCCTCCACTTGCCACAATAATTTTTTCCCTTTATTTCCCTCTTCTCTTCCTCACTGTCGCGTCGTTTGGGTTGTTTTGCTGTGTCTGCAGCTACAGCCAGAAGAGTCATAGCCACTATTGCGCTGCAGACGCTAGAGGAGGGGTGGCCTGTTTGTAACAGCACTGCTCCTCGTTCTGTGATTGGAGGAGAACTAGCATCATGCTAAGTCTCTACTCAGCCATTTTTACGGCCTGAATTTTACAATTAAATTATGGATTATAATACAATACTTTTTTATGAACTCATTAGAAAATAAAACGGGTATAGCTTCTTAGAGCCTGAAGGTCGTGGGTTCGAGCCCACCAAGAGACCTTCTCCACTGACTCCCACTGATGACTGCTGTCGTTGTGTCCTTGGGCAAGGCACCCCAACCCAGAAATGGTATAAGGAGATGGATGGATGAACTGTGTTTGTGTGAGTGTGTGTGAATGAACTTCGCAGCAGCTTTTGCCAAGAGAAATATTCTCGGCTCATAGTAAATAAACCTGTGAAAAATCTCAAAATTCATTTAAAGTCATTTTTTAAAATATAAGTACTTCTAAAAATCTATATTTACAACTACTTTGTAATACTACTAACACTACATAATTGTATTATATATTTTTTTTTTCTCAAAGAGCAGTCAATTGGACAGCTTGTATATGGAGAAGAGTAATTACTCAGCTTATGTCCCTTTTCGATCTTCATAACTTTGTGACTTTTTTTGTTTCTCTATGTTTTTTTTATATTTCATTATTTTTAATGAAAATGTGTTTTATTTTAACGTGAGTAGATCTATCTTTAATTCAAAATTCAAACGTAGCTATTTTTGGTCTCTTGGGAACCAACTGTATGGCAGTTGAGGAGAGGCAAGGCAAGTTTATTTGTATAGAACAAGTCATACAAAAGGCCTATGTTCTTGTGTGCCAGTCCCTGTGCTCCTCAGAGTCCCAGCAGGAGGCCAGGCCCTGTGCTCCTCAGAGTCCCAGCAGGAGGACAGGCCCTGTGCTCCTCAGAGTCTGAGTCAGTTCATATGACACTAACATGTCACAAATGTACTTTTGTGCGGAACAGAGCTGCTTTAAAGTCTATTCTCTGAGCCACATTAACCCAGTGCAGATACCTGAGGACTAGACTAATGTGATGGTACTTCCTGGTTCTAGTCAGGACTCGAGCTGCAGTGTGTTGAATGTACTGCAGATGTTTCACAGCTTGTTTGGAGAGACCTCTGAGCAGGATGATGCAGCGGTCTAACCTACTGGAGACAAATGCACAGACAATATTCTCCAAGTCTGCCCTAGACAATACATAATTAATCCTGGCTATGTTTTTGAGGTGGTAAAGCCCCCTTTTTAAGGTCCTGGATTGGTCCTGGTTCAGGTTGGTTTTGCACCAGAGAAGAGCATGTTACATACCATAGCAACTTGCTAGTTAGTTATACTTTTATACTATATAGGGAAATTTGTCCTCTGCATTTGACCCATCCTTCATGCGAACACATGAACGTGCAAACTCCACTCAGAGAGGCCCTGTTCTGACTGGGATTTGAACCCAGTACCTTGGCACTGGAAAGTGAGAGTGCTAACCGCTCAGTCACCCAGTCTCACACTACTACTGTCAGCAGTTAGCATCTGTCACCTTTTGTTTTACTCTATTTTAGATGAAGTCACCACTTTTACCACTTAGTGAGTAAAGGTAAAAAGTTTTTTTTTTTTATCTGGTGGAAAAGTAAAAATAAACTCTCAGAATTCTATTGGTTGGAATGAGAGCAGTCAAAATGACGGCTTTGGGAGTTCTAGAAGTTTTAGAATTGTGGGAGTCCTGGTTAAACCAAAGTTTCAGTGAGCACTTCTGCTTTGACGAGATAAGATTATGATTAAGATATACTTTATTTGACCCACAGCGGGGAAATGTCAGTGTTGAATCACCAGTTACAGAACAGTAAGAATGAGGAGCACACAACACAAGACAAATAAACAATAACTCTATACTTTAAAAATAAAATCTCTAACTATACTAGCAAATCCAACATCTTAATATGATAAAGAAGCAAGTATAGAATTAGAACTTTAATATAAGTAAGAATCAAGTACATAATCTCTAAGTTTATATTAATAAAGAAGCAAGTATACGATCTATAACGTTAGCATAATAAATAAGCTAGTTTTAAATGCTGCATATATTTGAGTGTGGGTAAAGGAGGGTAAAGTGTGTTTTGTATTGCACATTCTGACATTTCAAGTTTCTGCACAGATGCCCGAAAGTTGAGGTCAGGTCAGCATTGTTTGTTAGTCTTTATTGTTCCTCGTACAGTCTGACAGCAGAAGGAGTGAAACGCCTGCAGAACCTCTCCTTCTTTACAAAGTTTCAGTGACCACTTCTCTTATGACAAGTTAATCCACCCCACCTCACAAATCTGGCACAGGTGTGTTGGACCGGCATATTTGGAATGCGCCGGATCGCCCTAAGCCACAGTGCGCTCCAGTTCCTGCCAATATCCAGCAACTTCACGCAATCACATAACTACTAACAACTTGGAGTGCGTAAATAAAGGTCCTGGGTTCGATTCCTCCTCCAGGTGTCTGAAACTCCAAAACACTGTAAAGCACTTTGACCATAGTCTGTGAATTGCGCTATACAAATAAAGATTATTTCCTCACTCACTAAACGACAACGATTGCAATTCGTCTGAAGCGGTGAAAAGTCAATGTTGCATGTTATGTCTCGTTTAAAAGTACATTTTGCACAATAATCGTTTGTCTGGGATCTCCTGTCTATCTGGCAACCAGTGAGAGGAGGGGGCGCCAGTGACGAGGCAGCTCTGCGGAGGGGAGAGAGAGGGAGGAGAGGGGAGAGAGAGAGAGGAGAGGGGAGAGAGAGAGAGGAGAGGGAGGGGAGAGAGAGGGAGGGGAGAGGAGAGAGAGGGAGGAGAGGGGAGAGAGAGGGAGGAGAGGGGAGAGAGAGGGAGGAGGAGAGAGAGAGAGGGAGGGGAGGGGAGAGAGAGAGAGGAGAGGGGAGAGAGAGAGAGGAGAGGGAGGGGAGAGAGAGGGAGGGGAGAGGAGAGAGAGGGAGGAGAGGGGAGAGAGAGGGAGGAGAGGGGAGAGAGAGGGAGGAGAGAGAGAGGAGAGGGGGGGGGAGAGAGAGGGAGGGGAGGGGAGGGGAGGGGGAGAGAGAGGGAGGGGAGGGGAGAGAGAGGGAGGAGAGGGAGAGAGAGGGAGGAGAGAGAGAGGGAGGGGAGGGGAGAGAGAGGGAGGGGAGGGGAGGGGAGAGAGAGGGAGGGGGAGGGGAGAGAGAGGGAGGAGAGGGGAGAGAGAGAGAGGAGAGGGAGGGGAGAGAGAGGGAGGGGAGAGGAGAGAGAGGGAGGAGAGGGGAGAGAGAGGGAGGAGAGGGGAGAGAGAGAGAGGAGAGGGGAGAGAGAGGGAGGGGAGGGGAGAGAGAGGGAGGAGAGGGAGAGAGAGGGAGGGGAGAGAGAGGGAGGGGAGGGGAGAGAGAGGGAGGGGAGGGGAGAGAGAGGGAGGGGAGAGAGAGGGAGGGGAGGGGAGAGAGAGGGAGGGGAGGGGAGGGGAGAGAGAGGGAGGAGAGGGGGAGAGAGAGAGAGGAGAGGGGAGAGAGAGAGAGGAGAGGGAGGGGAGAGAGAGGGAGGGGAGAGGAGAGAGAGGGAGGAGAGGGGAGAGAGAGGGAGGAGAGGGGAGAGAGAGAGAGGAGAGGGGAGAGAGAGAGAGGAGAGGGAGGGGAGAGAGAGGGAGGGGAGAGGAGAGAGAGGGAGGAGAGGGGAGAGAGAGGGGGAGGAGAGGGGAGAGAGAGGGAGGAGAGGGGAGAGAGAGGGAGGAGAGAGAGAGGGAGGGGAGGGGAGGGGAGAGAGAGGGGAGGGGAGGGGAGAGAGAGGGAGGAGAGGGGAGGGGAGAGAGAGGGAGGGGAGGGGAGAGAGAGGGAGGGGAGGGGAGAGAGGGAGGGGAGGGGAGGGGAGAGAGAGGGAGGGGAGGGGAGAGAGAGGGAGGGGAGGGGAGAGAGAGGGAGGAGAGGGGAGAGAGAGGGAGGGGAGAGAGAGGGAGGGGAGGGGAGAGAGAGGGAGGAGAGAGAGGGAGGGGAGAGAGAGGGAGGGGAGGGGAGAGAGAGGGAGGGGAGAGAGAGGGGAGGGGAGGGGAGAGAGAGGGAGGGGAGGGGAGAGAGAGGGGAGGGGAGGGGAGAGAGAGGGAGGGGAGGGGAGAGAGAGGGAGGGGAGGGGAGAGAGAGGGAGGGGAGAGAGAGGGAGGGGAGAGAGAGGGAGGGGAGGGGAGAGAGAGGGAGGGGAGAGAGAGGGAGGGGAGGGAGGGGAGAGAGAGGGAGGGGAGAGAGAGGGAGGGGAGAGAGAGGGAGGGGAGAGAGAGGGAGGGGAGGGGGGTTCCCAGGGGAGAGGGGAGAGGGGGGGGGGCTGATTGATAGCTCCACAAATGAAGGATGTGTAAATTGCGCGTGCCTGTGTGTGAGGGCGTATATGTGTGTGCGCATGCATGTGTGTGTCTGTGTGTGCATGTTTGAGTGTGCGTGTGCGCCTGTGTGTTGTGTATGTTTGTTTGTATGTGAATGTCGGCCTGTGTGTGTGCCTGTGTGTGTGTCTTAGTGTGAGCGAGTGTGTGCCTGTATGTATATGTTTGAGTGTGCGTCTGTATGTGTGTGTGTACATTTGTTTGTATGTGCATGTGGGCCTGTGTGCGTGTGCCTGTATGTGTGTGTATGTATGTCTGTTTGTATGTGCATGTGGGCCTGTGTGTGTGTGTTTGTTTGTATGTACATGTGGGCCTGTGTGTGTGTGTGTGTGCCTGTGTGTGTATATTTGTGTGTGTATCCCACCAAACACAGCTCACTTGTTAAAAGTTTTACCAACTTTATAATCCTTAACGCCACATCTGTTTCCCGTCTTCATGCGCCCGTAAAAGGTCATTACATTATTACCGGCAGCTGGCCCGGCGGCGCGCTAACCTCACTTATGCGCCAATACTTTTGATTTATAGAGCCTCTTAGAATAAATGATTTTTTTTGTGTGTGTTACATATGTATATTTAAATCGACAAGGGGGAATGCATTCTGTTGAATCATTCATGAGGAGGTTTGAGAGCGCGGAGGACGAGGCCGCGCCCGGTTAAGTGGGCTGTGTTTGAAACAGCGCCGCGTGTGCGCGAGCGATCAGAGCGCGCCGATTCCACGCTCAGAAAAAGTTACAACTGTGCAATATTGTGTTTATAAATAGTTTTTTGACTAGTTTCCTTTTAAATATTTACTTTCAAAATGCTCTGTACTTCCTCATATTGTAGTATCACATGTTGATAATCAGTGGCCGTGAGAATGGATTTAAAACAATTACATTTTAAGTGAAAGTTTTGGTAAAAAAGTATTAAGATTTTGAAGTTATCAAGTGTGTACTTAAAGATAACTTACCTTTACAAAGCTATAGTTATGCCACTCATTATCATTATGATTGGTATTACTATATGTTTTTTTTATTAAAATATATTTTTTACACTTTTACACTCTATCCCATTCTACAGTACTGTAAATGGACAAATACTCAGAACTCAAAACTAATCAGAATCATTTTTATTGACATATAAGTAACAGGAAGGTAAGTCACAGATTAGGAAATGTCTTTGGCTCTCGGTGCAATAGTCAAAGAAGAAAGGTAAAGAATAGAGTAAGGCGTATTAAAAAATTAGCATACACGTCTAAGGTATAAGGATTAAAATAAAAGTATTACAATTACAATTACTAGATACAATGTACATGGTGTACGTGTCATTTACTAGAGCAGGGGTCAGGAGCCTCATGCGGCTCTTTTGATGATTGTAAGTAGTAAGTAAGTAATCTTTATTTATATAGATTAATTATCAATATATTGTGTCTGGTTCTCAGACAAATCCACGAAGGCCTTAATAGTAAGAATGGTTTTTGTATTGGATTGTGTCAGTAAAAAACATTTTATTAAACAAAATAATACATTCTGAGACTAATATCTGACTCTAAATGTGTTGATCTTCTTTTTGGCTCTCAGCTAAAACAGTCCCCGACCTCTGACTGTACTTTACTGTACTCTCCACATCTGAAACATTTGGAGGATTGTATCTGTTCTGTGTCTTCTGAGTGCACTTTGAGTTTCCCTGTGTCTGAATTGTCCTAACCTTTGCTTTCCTTCGCAGCATGTTTTAGTGTCTGGTTCAAAAAATATATTATCCAATTAAGAGAACGTTTGAGGGCCACTTGACCTTTGAACTGACAGAGTGATACCATGTGTTCTAAAATCACCACGGAAACAGCACCTCTTCCAGTCTGTGTTTGAGTCGTGCTATACATATAAACCTGCCTCCCCCTCACACCATCGGTATCTGCTTCGATCCCATATCGAATATACCTGAAGAGTAACCGATGGCTCTTTCCGGCACAGCTACAGTTTCAGTTTCACTTCTTTGGCTCCGATGTAGTTTAGCACCACATGTCCTCAAATCACCGTGGAAACAGCATCTCTCCCAGGGACAGTACGAGCCAGGCTTGTGGAGAGGCGAGCCCACGTGTGAGGTAACACGTTCTTACTCATGCTATTCTCACTACAAAACAAGAAACTGTAATTTAATAAAAAAAATTCAAGTGTGTTTTGTCCCATTTTTATAGTTTTTTTCTTTCTGTAATTTAAAGCTAAATGAAAATAACATTATTTATTATCATTATTATTATTATTATTATTATCGCCTTTTTTGCCTCAATCATTTCAAACATATTTTATATACAACACAGCTCACACTTCTTACATGTAAGTTCAGACCATTTCTTTCTATTTTGTGAGGAAAACTGTTGTTATAACCTGGTAACTTTCTCCTCTCCTCTCTCCACATGAACACAGTGAGATTAACATGATACAAAAACATGAATTATTGAACATTTTAGAAGTATTAAAACGGACACCAGGATTTAACACCATCAGCATCTGTTTCAACACACAAGGATTATTATTGCATTTCCTGCGTTCCAACGGTTTGATTCTCTGATCTGCTGTTGGCGAATCCACAACTTTGCTAAGTCTGCTGCTGCACAAAAACATTGAATTAAAGGCAGATAGAAAAATTCTGGAAAATATAAACATGTGAAATGCATCTATTTAACACAAGTTGTCGTCTAGAACTTTTTTATTATTAACTGATTTTTTAGTTTTTGTTACAGAGAATATTTTGGTTGTAAATAGAGAAGCGTTTTTGTTTAGAATTGTTATTATTCCTTAAAACAAGCCAATAAAAATATGTATATAAAATGAAATAGTCGTGGTCTACCTTAAGTTTAGATAGATGCTGTAATAAATATTTATATTATGTGACGTGTTTTATCTCCTCAATATTTTTATTATTTTTTGCATAAAGCTCAAACACACACAAGCCACACTTCTTACATTTAAGATTAGACCAAAAGTTTGTGCCAAAACTATAAACACAAACAGAATTGTGCGTTCGGTCGGGAACCTTATCCCGGAAACATGTGCGGAGGAAGAAATCATACTTTTTCTGAAATATTTAAAGTTCCTCATATTTATCAACCACATGAGAAAAGCAGCAACATTCTCACTTTTTGTGGTCTGACAAACTGTACCACTTTTTAAAACATTACTGACAATTTCCCAACGACTGATGTCACTTCCACTCTATCATTGCTATCATTACTCACGCTCCTGGTTTATGCGGTGGACACAGAAACAGCCACATATTGACAAGCTCTCGGCAAGGCAAGTTTATTTGTATTGCACAGATTCGCAAACAAGGCAACTCAAAGTGCTGAACCAATCAAGATAGAAAACAGTCACACAAAACCATACATAATAACATTACATTAAAAATAGAGTGAATATAAAATCCTAAATAAAATTATTATTATTATTATTATTGGCTGTATTGAAAACAAAGACACGAGAGTCCATTGTCAGAAAACATTGCACTCAAGTTTTTGTGTTGCCTTAAAAATCTTTAATTACAAACAAGGTGGAGGAACGTTTATTCCAAACTGTATTTATAGATAGAGATATTTCCAGAGAGAGTGACCAAAGTGAATGTTCTAGAATAGATAGACTTTGTTTCAATCTACAACAATCTGACTGGAATAATCAGGAGAAATGTCAAAACATAAAATAAAAGAGTTTGAATGTTACTAATATTTAAAGGTCTAAGATTATCCAGAGAAAATCCACAAAATAATGTAATTCTAGTTCAAGCAAAATACTATATTCATAACTTTCAATTAAGTTAAACATGTATTGATAGTTTTAAAGCAGATTATTCAAAACCTGTTTGGGCTTTGTTGAAAAATAAGAAATGAATTCAAACTATTACGTTGTTAAAAAAATGTCATGAGTTGATCAGCAGTGTGTGTGTGTGTGAGTGTGTGTTGTGTTCTGTGTGTGCATATATCTGTTGTATGTGTGCAGGTGTGTGTGTTCAAATGTGTTATATGTGTGCAGGTGTGTGTGTTAATGTGTGTTGTGTGTGCAGGTGTGTGTGTGTTCATATGTGTAGTGTGTGTGCATATGTGTTATATGTGTGCAGCTGTGTGTTCATATGTGTTGTGTGTGTGTGTGCACGTGTGTGTTCATATGTGTTGTGTTCTGTGTGTGCATATGTGTTGTATTTGTGCAGGTGTGTGTGTTTTAAATGTGTTGTATGTGTGCAGGTGTGTGTTAATGTGTGTTGTGTGTGCAGGTGTGTGTGTTCATATGTGTTGTGTGTGTGCATATGTGTTATATGTGTGCAGCTGTGTGTTCATATGTGTTGTGTGTGTGTGTGTCTTTGTGTGTGTGCACGTGTGTGTTCATACTGTATGTGTTGTATGTGTGCAGGTGAGTATGTTTTAAATGTGTTGTATGTGTGCAGGTGTGTGTTAATGTGTGTTCATATGCGTTGTGTTCTGTGTGTGCATATGTGTTGTATGTGTGCAGGTGTGTGTGTTCATATGCATTGTATGTGTGCAGGTGTGTGTGTTCATATGCATTGTATGTGTGCAGGTGTGTGTGTTCATATGTGTTGTGTGTGTGTGTCTTTGTGTGTACATTATATCCTCTGTGGTATTATGTGCCATAAGTACAAGGTTGTACTGTTGAAAAATATATTTTTTGCAGACTTTTAATGATTTAAAATATATATATATATATATATAAACTGTGGCTCCTGTGATTCCACAAACCCCAAAATGACCACACACCGAAGTCTGCGCTGGATCCACCGACTCTCGAGAGTGGAGCAGGTTTACAACAGTGTTCTCAACAGAGCTGCAAATGAGACAATGGTCTACGCTCTTCACGTGTGTTTCTTCTCACACATTTTTGACCAATCAGGTGATTTTGCAATATTCCCAAGACAATCGACCTCTCAGGGCTGAAAAACACGGTGTTGAGAACCTGCGATAAAGACCACATGATT